GCTTCGGCCATCTATTTTGTTGATGCCCAAGTTATGCTCCAAACAGGTTGATACAGGGACTTGAGCGCGACTTAGGTTTTAAGTGATAGCCAAATTCCCGCAGCATCAAACCGCATTCTCGCTCATCACTCATCCATCTATCCATCCATCCAATCCATAGGATTGCATTTGGTAAAAGAGACTGCCGGCTGAACGGGAGACAAACAGCACTTGACTGCAGGGCGGCAGATGTTTGGCGGGTTGGGTTGACCACGTACTCCCTTCACTCGCACATATAAACCAAAACGCCAACTAAAAGCTTAACACTGCTTGGCAAAACTATTCTACTATGGCAAATAAAAAGGCCAAAGGAGGAGTACTGCCCATCGTTAACTGGCAGTGAAAAGGGGCGCGTCGAGGTCTAAAACTACACAAATTGCACCGCAGCAAGATAAACTATTAAGAAAAGGTTAAATGCTTGAAATAAACCAGAGGACGCACTAAAACGAAAATGTGAAGTAAAAGTCCCAGAGGTTGCCGAAACTCTTACTCGGTACTCTTGCATCCCAGTCCCGGATAACTAGGCTAGTCGCTTAATCCACCCAACTCCAGTCGCATGTTCCCACGCTCAACATTTGCTGGGACACTTAGGCGGTTAAATTCAAGATGAAGACGCAACATCGGCCGTTTTATTGAGATCTGCGGGAGAACTGTAAATGAATTTATGCAGGCAAAATAAAATATCCACCAGATTTTGCGATTTCAGTGGCCATACTAGCCGATATACGATAGCATGATGAAGGATCTGCAAAATATCTTGTAGAAATGGTCGCTAGATGAAAGCCACATGTTCTATGCGCACAGATGTTTGGAACCTAAACTCGACTTTTCCACCCCATGAATAGTCTTAGTATCCTAAATTAGAACTGCGTATGACCCTATTCAGAAGGCGGATCGGCGGTGTTTCACAGTTCATAGCGTCACAAATAACTGTGGCGACAGCGCCATTTGGTCATCAGCAACCACTGTTCTAGAGCGCAAGGCAAAGATCGTCAGGCTCAGCAGTCCATGCCGATGTCAACTGAAACAGGAGCTTTGGAGAGAGGACATTGCGGAGGCGTGCGCAGGCGAAAAGTTGGAGATAACTGTTCTTTGGCGGACTACCCCAAGGAGCCGCTTCTGATCGGGGATAAAATGCAATATTCGACACGTGCTTCGTGAGCCAAACTCGCGGTATTTGCTTTATCAATCACTTCAACCTTGTTCAGGTGAGCGGCGTCATAGCCCGTACCCAGTCATAAAAATGGACGACTTTGCTCATATTCTCGTACACTTCATTATTTTTATTCTGCTATGCTCTGCATCAGAGCCCCCAGCAGTGACAGGACCGTGTATGCATGTTGCATTCAGGGCCTGTCAATATCACAAATGAACCAGGGTAGACAAAACACCAGAGCACCCTGAACTCTTATTCATCAAACAAGGCGGACATATTTTGCAGCTTCAAGTTGGCTAGCGGTAATTTAATATACCCAGGGTCTACTTCGGACGAGGAATGTACGCTTAAGGGGAATTCAGCTCCCCCGAAGGAATTTCCAGGCAGGCCGACTTCGTTGGCTTATTCAAATTCGGAAAGGGGTTTTGGCTTAATTTGACGCCCTAGAAGTCTTACATTGCTGTAGTCCGTAGGTTTGGAGGCCAAGCTTCGCAGTTCTAAGACAAGAAGGTTTGCCTCGTGGTCACATACACTTGAATGTTTGCCTTCAGATGAAATTTACGGTGACATGAAAAACACTCCCAGAGTCTTCAGAAGACGACACTTGTACGCGGCGATTAATTTTTTTTCTGACAATGACCTGTCAACTACATAGTTTTGAGTCTTTCGCCACCCAGGTGGAGGGATAAATGCCCTGCGGTGAGAGACCATCTAGCAACACCTTGGTACGCAGTTTCGGGCTGAGTCCGTGGAAGAAGATAACAAGTTTTCGAGGAGCGATATCGTTTCCCCGAGGGTATTTCCTAGCAGGGTGACTCTGTAGGCATAGTCAAGACCTGAAACGCCGGAGCCTTATTTGACCCGGGCACCATCACAGTCATGTAGCTCAAGGAGCAGAAAAAACGTCCATGACACAAGGGACGATTAAGAAGACGGCTTTGCCTAACAGTAGCACAGATACTCGATGATGAACGTTCACCGACTGCTAACGGAACTCACTCATCAACAAGTGTCAATAGCTCCCGATCTAAACCGGCAAGACAACGAGCTCGCGGCTTAATGATTAGGGCGTTAGACTCTGATCAAAAGGATCTAGAGCTCGAGCCTCGACTGGTGCGTCCCTTGGGGTTGGTTATGACTGGCTAACGACGGCTAATAAGCCAGAAATGGTCAGTCCAGTCTCCGTTGTCTTTGCTAGCATAGATATTTGACCCCCTTCTCCGCAACGATTGAAATCTTATTCGTGAAGTGAACTAATAAACTTGCTCAAGGTAAACGTCTAAAGCTAACAACACACTGTCCGGCTTAGACTGTGGAAAAATGCGAACGTAATCTGCCTAATCCCTTGGACTCTGCAAGTTCAACCACTGGGCTAGGGTAATAAGTTCTACTTGTGGATTTCGGAACACCACCGTGTGTACAAAGGGTGTTTGACCATTGCTATTTGGTTTGCAAATAAAAATTCTTCATTGAGCTATTGTATCTGTGTCACGAGGTTGTTTTGCCCGATTTACAAAAATACCGGTGGGGTGTCCTTTTGGGTCAGTCACCTAGTCAGGCAGTGGGGCATAAACTGCACAAATTGCTAGCGTTCCACTGGCTTATAATGACGGTTGCACTAAAATAGCTGTTTAGGGGTGTGCGTGTATGTCAAAAGCAGGCCTAACGTTATTATGGACTAGTTTTCACAGTTTCTATTCGAATTTCAACGTCAATTTGATGCCTCTGACTTTAATCAAAACGACGATGGTTGGGCCTACCGTCGGGTGGTGGACCAAGTACTTATGTAACGATGCATTTGTTTGCTTCTGCTCATAAACTTACCCATCATGTGCGAACGGTAATCTGACTTACATGTTACAAGGGGGTATGTACGCGCAGAGACAGTGAAACGCTGAAACATTTTGAAACAACAACTGACCCACAGTGAATGCGAGTAACATCTGGGCCAGGAAGACGGAGCATTGTGCATGGAAAAACTCTTACGGCAAAACTGTCTTGCAGGGCCACCTAAATATAAATTCCTTCACTCAACTGTCTTCGAGAATTGGTTGTTTAACATTTAATGCTTGGTTGACGAGTGTAAATGAATATTTAATTGTATTGAAAGTTACCAAAGAATATTAAATTAAAGCTACTTATAATTGTTTTAATAAGCTAAATATAATCAACTTCATCAACATAAACTCCTGTTGCTCAGACAAGTGATGCCTATTTAGGTAAATTCGACCTTATATTGGTGGAATTAAACGAAAGAATGGAGAGTTGGGCTACTGAAAACATAAAAGTAGTTTATTATTATATGTCAAAGGCAAATAGGACCTCTGAAGACAATCCTACCGCTCTTACCGCCGAATATGTTGTTTCCGCCGCCCTCCCTCTGCGGTTTGAGCACGTAGTTTGAGGGATTCTGCATACAGTCAGAGACAATCGCGTCGATTTCGGCCTTTGAGGCGAGCTCAAAATCAGTCGAGAGGAAGGTCTGGCGGGCAAAAGTAGAAGTGAGGTTGTTAATTCTGTCCGTGTCATCGCCGAAGAACCGCTTTAGTACGTTGGGCTGGGCCAGGGCAGTCTGCACGAGTTTGGTGTTGGCCAGGAGTTCAGCAATTGTGGGACACTTGATTGCGAGGGTGCGTTCCAACATGCCTTTCGTCTCCCAGTCTTCCTGTGCACGAAGAATAATAATAATAACCCATAACTATTGTTGCCAGATCCGGTACGGCAGCACGACAAAAAAAATAGGGAAAGAGAAGAGCGCAGGATATGAGAGCTTTAAGTCAGCAAGCATAAAAGCGAGAGGAACGGAAGACTACCTCGAGGTTTAGTCCCTCCACTTGAAGCTTCCAACCTATCGTTCTGCGGGCATCGGCCAGTGACTGAATAAAATCACTATCAGTCTAGTGCTTCCCTGCGGCTAATAATCTGTCTGTATTTCGAGCCTGCAAATGTCAGTCTTCACTATGTTTCTGAGTTAGTCTATTAGACGCACACACTACTCACTCACCGTTCTCTAAATTGGCTGTGAAGAGGGTGCTGCAGAGGGACTTTAGACTAGCAGGTTATTCAGGTGACAAAGGGCAACTCCATACAGCTAACCGATATTCTGTCTGTTATATGGCTACCTGGCGACTGCCTTTATATGCGATTAGACTGGCAAGCAGGAGTTAAGAATCACTTTTTTAGCGGAACCGCTCATTTTCAGCTCAGAGATGGCGCAAATGTACAGTCTTCAGACACTTGGAACACCTTTTAGCACCCAATGCACTACAGTATACTAAATTGAGTCTGGCAAATTGCGCGTGACGCACGTTAAATTAGAGTTTTGCGTCACGTCAGCCACTACGTTTAGAACGAAAATGGTACTGACACACGCTGAAAGAGAGGCTGAAAAGTGGAATATCCTAGACGCGGACAGAGTATGTGGTTTCCTATTATAACCAATATCACACTCTTTAAACTCCCACGAGATCACAAATATTGTGACCTAGAAAAGTGCCGACTGAAGCTGTGCCCAGCACTTTCCTTGGACTGAAAGTCAAGTTGCACCGCCCTTCTATTCATGCCAAATTTATGATTGAACACGTGCTTAGATCGCGCATACATGAAAATAAGCTGGCTGTGCGACGGAGCGACGAATTATCGCAAGCTGTTGCCCACACCTACGAAGCGGGCCATGAGTTCAACTTCGCCGCGTCCAGATAGGCGCCCACGGCCACGAGAATTGACTGAAGTCTGGTCTACGGGTGGAAACTCAAACAATCGATGCAGAGATTTGGTGCCGGCGTATAGAGCCCTGCAGAGTCATCTCCCGACTTACTTTATTGCTAACTGATTGCCCTGCACCCTCTATAATAAACCCCTTTTTGCTATTGCTGCTGCTGTCTTTGCCGATGAACTCCTGCACGAGTTCGAATTTTCAGAAAAATAAATAACTGTTCCGGTGCTCGACCAGCCTTCTTAGTTACTAATGACGGATTGTCTTTGATGAGACCCGAGTACGGCAAAAGCTAGCTTGTGTGCGTGCAAAAACATGCACTTGTGCGGCACGCGCAGGCGCATGAAGTACTGCCGACAGGAAATTTGACTTGGTATGGTGGCTGCCTGGGCAGCAAAACGTGTTACGCATGCACAGTTTGAGCCAAAGACCATTTTGATAGCAGCAAAGACTGTCACACCAAATTAAAGTTCACATACTACGCCGCATTTAATCGGGCTACGTTTAAACTGAAGACACACTAGTTGCAAGCTCGGAACCCTCTGAATACGAGACGGGCTGTCAACGGGCTGGCTCCTACTGGATTGCCTCACAACCAGCCTAATATGTGCTTCCAATGACAGGTTTAATGTTCATTGATGAAGTAGTGGACATATACACAAGAGTTACGTTCGGTTTTGGGGGCCCGATAAATTGTCACATACAGCTTTTGCCTGCAGCTACTTTGCATGTGCCAAAAAACCGTTAGATTTACTCTAAGAAGCCCACGATTATTAATGAAACTCTCAAATACTGGGTGACGTCAAAGCTTACAACTAGTGCTTTACTTTAGCAGTGTTGTGTAGATGCAGAGATTAGACTGATGACAGCTGCTAGCAGCACAGTTGTGGCATATACGCCTTCCGTTCCTGGAGCACCGCGCCAGGAATGACATGATTACTGTTTTGGATGAATGAAGCGAGAACGCGCTCAGCTTCATGGACAGACAAGCCTAGGTACCCACAAACTCGGAAAGCCTCTAATGATCTCACTATAAACTGACACTGGTTCTCATATGAGAGTAATTTCTTTCTGTCTCCCCGTTGACTAGGGACGCGAGGAGGCGTAGAACCGGCTGCGCGTCACGTGTTTAGACCACCCTCGGGGAAAAATCAAAAGCAGCTCATTTTACTGGCGTCTGCCCCTTTCTTCTTCTTCTTCTTCTTCTTCTTCTTCTTCTTCTTCTTCTTCTTC